GCGCAGCTCGCTTTTGTGTCCCACCGACTCAGCGTCACCCCTATAGGTGCACACAGGTTTTTGTGGAAGTGAGCTCACGTCCCGCCCCATGTACTGACTTCCTGAGTCCATCTGAAGCAGAGGCCTCTTCTTCAAAAAGGAAACTGCCCTCCTTTGCTGTGTCCTGTTTCTCACTACCATGTCCCCGGCCCTGTCACCCAGCAGGGAGACTCTCTCAGCCCTGATTTCTACAATTCATAGGACTTTATTTCTGAAATGTCTGGAACAGCTTTATCCTGTAAATATATATTGTAAAACACATATTCAAGTTTTTTAATTTTAGTAGCTATATTTATTTATTTATTCTGTCATCTTTTTGAGACAGGCTGGCCTTGAGCTCACTTTGCAGCCCAGGCTGGTCTCGAACTTGCAACGATCTTCCTGCCTCAGCCTCCTGAGTGCTGGGATTACAGGCGTGCGCCACCCCACCGAGCTAGTAGCTATATTTTAAAAAGTAAAAAACCAACAACAACAAAAAACCCAGGTAAGATTAATTTGAATCCCGTCAGTGTGGTGGTATAATATAATCCTATAATTTTAGGGCTCTAGGAGGCTGAGGCAGGAAGATCCCAAGTTTAAGCCCAGCCTAGACAACTAAGCAAGGCCCTGTATAAAAATTAGAAGATTAAAAATAAAAGGGCTGGGGATGTAGCTCAGTGCAAAAGCTGTGGGTTCAATCTCCAGAACCACTTAAGAAATTATTTTGAGAAGCTGGGCATGGTGGTGCATGCCTGTGTTACTCTCAGCACTCAGGAGGCTGAGATAGGAGGATCGCTGAGTGTTCAAGGCCAGCCCGGACTAGATCATGAGTTTGAGGCTAGCATGGGCTACATAGCAACACCCTGTCTCAAAAAGCCAAAAAAAAATTTAAGAAAATTAATTTTAATCTAAGATGTCAAAACTTCCAATAATTAGTATCGTTCATCTTGTCCCCATGTTGGGGACCAAACATTCATACCAGGTCGGCGCTCTGCCTGACTGCACCCCACCTGCAGAGCGTAAAGTCCAGGGCGTGGTTCTCAAGCACGGCAGCGGGGCCAACGGCTGTCCTTCTGAACACCATCTTGGGTAGAGAATCTTTACATGTTGTGTACTCACCACAATTCAGTGAAACCCACACAGGACAAGAAAGCCACAAAGCATCCATCCTACTGGCTCTGTCATTAGCAAAGGAGAGAAATTCCAGTAAGACAGAATCACTTGCCAGATGTAATCTGGCTTTTCATTTTTTTTTTTTTTTTCTATTTTTCCATCTGATTAGTGATTCTGGATATCCACATCATATAAAGCCTTTCGTTCAAAAACCATCCAGTTTTCTTGTAAGTGAGCCGTTCTGCCAGGGCATCACGAGTCCTCCCTTCCTTTTCCTTTTCACCTCTTCCTGTTTCGCTGGCTCCCCGGAGTCTGACTGATTAGGTCTTTTTCTTTCCCCTCCTTTTCCACAGCTTGAGTTCTACATTTTCTCTCCTACCCTGAATGGATACTGTTTCCCAGAAACTTGAAATATTTGCAACATTTGCTTAAACTCCTGTGGGAGCATTTCTGCTTCCAGAAGTGGGGTTCTACCTAGTGATAAGGTTGGTGTTGCATCACCCAGGGGATCTTGGGGTAGGAGCTGGAAGTTATTAAGCTCATATTTATTTATTTATTTATTTATTTACTGCAGGGGGGCATACCTGGAATCAAACTTAGGACCTCACACTTGCCAGGCAAGCGCTGCACCACTAAGCTAAATCCCTGGCCCCTAAGCTCACATTCTTAAAACCCACAGGGAAAAAATGTGATGCAGATGAGAAAGTATCTCTTAAAATAAATAATTGTCAAAAATGACAAGTCAGTGGATAAAGCCAGACTTCGTACGTAGGTGGCAGAACAAGACAGGGTTGGTTGTCAAACTTCAGGGGGAGAGAACAAGATATAAGGACATATACAGCACGTTCTAAAACAAAACGTTAGACAAACTTCTGACTATAAGAAACATGAGGTCGGGAGAAGACGTGTCAGGATGCACACTGGGAAGCGAGTCTACAGCCAGCAAGAAGGCGTTTCAACATTTAAAACCCAGACTGGGGCTCCCCAGACATTGTTCTTTCTTGGACCACATTTTGTTTCTTTTTTTACCTGGTACTGGAATCCACGGAGCACTGAGCTACATCTCCAGCTCTATTTTATTTTTATTTGATGTTATGTCATTTTGTGGAGCTAGGGATCAAAGCCAGGGACTCTTGCATACTAGGCGAGTGCACTACCAACTGAGCTATATTTTATTCTCAGACAAGAAGTCACTACATTGTCTAGGTAGGCCTCCAATTTACAGTCCTCCTGCCTCAGCCTCCCTGAGTGGTAGGATTACAGGCGTGCACCACATTCTCTGGCTGTCTGGACCACATTCTTCCCCACAAAAAAGCTGCACACACACATGGGCAAGATAATAAGCCATAATTAGGGAGCTAGAATTGTAGCACCAGACATCCAAAGAAACTGCAAGCTCGCTCACTCTGTGGTATTCGCTGCTCGTCCCTACCCACTTGCTCAATGCCTACGCTGGATAAATATTGCCTGAGTGAATGAACTGGCTGATAACAGGGTACTGAACGCTTGATGAGCTCCAAGGGATGGATGAAATAAAGGAGCAAGATGTTGCAGATTGACTGACTCAGAGGGGCGGGAGCCCCAGGTTGGAAGCGAGAGGGCATATGGGGGGTGAAAGAGTTCCGGCCGCCAAGCGAGCTCGCTCTTTGAGAAGCACAAGTGGAGGAGACCGGAGTGAACAGCCTGACACAACAGTCCGAGCTCACAGCGCATCGCTGCCTATGGGGTGCAGGCGGGCCCACGGCACGGTGCAGGCTGTGAGGGACAGCGGCAGTCACCGGAAGCCGGGAAGTGACCTATCAATTTCTGGATCTGTCCAACAGCACTAGTGATTCTGTTTTCCTGGCCGGCTGGTGTTTTCTCCGTACAGATCAAAGTACATTTCCAACGCCACCCCGGACCTTGGGGTCTTGGTGACAACCTCCTTGTGGGTTCTGTCTCAGCTTGCTGTAGGGCCTTATGGTTCATTTTACTTGAGAGGGGGTAGGGGTGGTGTCGCTCACTACGCTGCCCGGGCTGGCCTAGCACTCCTGGGTCAAGGGATCTTTCTGCCGCAACCTCCCGTGGCTGGGATGCAGGAACACACCACCACGCCCAGGCCCTTTTAACTTAAAACTGTAACTCTAACAGCAAAAACTTACGTTATTCTAAGTAGACAACAAAACAAATAATGCAGGGCTGATCATCACGAAAAAGGATCAAGGCACACAAGTTAGGAAATCAGAGCTCAAACTGAAGTTTACCTCTTTTTAATTTTTACATTAAGCTTGTTTGCTTGAGACAGGGTCTCACTATGTAGCTCAGGCGGGGCTGGAATTCCAGATCTTCCTGTGCCAGCCTCCCAAGTGTGGGGTTATAATTTGCACGCCATGCCTGGCTCTGGAGCTGACTTCTCTTATTCACCTGCCGCTGAGTCCATGAATTGTCAACTTGGAAACCTACTTATCCCTCCTGTACCCCATACATGCCTTCCTCAAGCAGCAAATGAATTCCACCTCAGAGCGTTCTTTAAGCTTCACTTTTAGCAGCATCAGCCCTGCCCCGGATGAGATGACTCGGGCGGAGAGCGTCACGAGTGTGGGTTTAGCCGGGGAAGCTGTTTAAGTCTTCGGATGGATCTCGTCAATGCTAAACAATGACTTTAACTTCGCTTTTGAAAATTATGAGCTAATTACTTTTCAAGCCCTCTTGGGTTAACGAGGTGCCCCAGTGGGGCGCGCCTTCGAGCCGCTGACCGGACCACTCTGACATTCCTTAGAAGTAAGATAGAGCCCCGCAGTTTACATCATAGCAACAGTTGATAAGAAAAACAGCAAAAAGGTAATCATTTCCATATGGGAAGAGAAGGAGGGGAGCTGGGAAGCTATGAACTGTCATTTTCCATATAAAAATAAAAGCCGCTACCAGCAGATCTGGCAGGAAGGGCAAGCGTTCCGTTCCTTTCCATGTGACGTTCGTTCGCACACTGCGGGTGATGCGCTTTGTTGAAAGACATCACTCCCCTCAAACCCGGCTGCCAAGTTCCAAGCGTGCTTTGTCCTCCTGAGTGAAACCTACCTCCGTGTGTGTTAATTTCATCAAGCCCTCTACTGCCTTGGTGATAACTTTCTTAATTTAGTGAAAAATGTGAGCTCTCTTACCCCCATTATACAAAGCACACAACCATCTTCCATGCCAGTTGAACACCTAGATGTAATTTGATTTTATTTTTTTGAGACAGGGTCTTGCTATGCAACCCAGGCTGGCCTTGAACTCACAGCAATCCTCCTGCCTCAGCCTCCTGAGTGCTGAGATTACTGGTATGTGCCACCACATCTGGTATATAAGTAATTTTAAAGCAATAGTTCTGGCATTTTAAGATCCAAATCAAAATCTGATACAATTTTCTCATGCCCAGAAAACTATTTTTTCAGGACTGGGGATTGAGTCAAGGGTCTTTGCACCGAGCTACATATACTCCCAGCCCTGTTTAAATTTTTTATTTTGGGACAGGGTCTTTGTAAGTGTCCAGGGTGGGATCTAGTTTGAGATCTTCCTGCCTCACCCTCCTAGAATGCTGGGATTACAGGCATGCACTACCACACCTACCTCTGCAAGATATTAAAAAGCAAAAAAAAAAAAATTACACATTTACTCATCTACTTCTGGATTTAAGCATGATAAATATTTATTATCAAAACCCCAATATATTAGCTGGGCGTGGTGGCGCATGCCTGTAATCCCAGCACTCGGGAGGCTGAGGCAGGAGGATTACTGTGAGTTTGAGACCAGCCTGGGCTACAAAGTGTGTTCAAGACCAGCCTGAGCTGCATAGTGAGACCCTGTCTCAAAGAGACAAAAATGAAGAACTAAAGGCAAAACCCTGATATTTATTTATGTATTTGTTTGGTGTGGGACTCAAACTCCAGGGCCTCAAGCATGCTAGGCAAGTACTCTACCACTAGCCTATACTCCTGCCCTAATTTTTGTTTCTTGCCATTGACTGGTTAATTTTTGAGCTGGTGGCCCCGCTATGTTGTCCCAGCTGGCCTGGAGCTCCTGAGCTCAAGAGCGCCTCCCCTCCGAACACAGCTAGAACTGCAGGTACATGCTGCTGTGCCTGGCCTGAGATTCACCTCCAAACAAACACGCTGAGACAAAACTCTTCCCAGTACAGAAAATTCAAAGTAGACGTTCACACTGTAGCATTTGACAACATCTCCCTCTTGTGGTCCAAAGCACTCATTTCAAACATGAATATATTTAAGTGCAGAATTGCAAAGTCTTAGCTTAGAATTGTGCTGAGAAAGTTTCGTTCATGTTTAGTGAATCACTTTTGGAGTAAAGAGGGAAGCTTTCAGAACATGGGAACAAACAGAACATTCCCTTTTCTTGGATACTTACAGAGTTCCAACATCTGAGCAATTCTCTGAACCTAGGGGTGGTGGCATGCACCTGTAATTCCAGCTCTTCGGGAGGCTGAGGCAGGAGGATCATCTGAGCCCAGTACATAGTTCAAGAACAACAGGAACAACATGGTAAGACCCTGTCTCTACAAAACAAAATGAAAGTCTGTTTTTGCTTTTTTTTAGACAGGGTCTCACTGTGTAGCCCAGGCTGGCCTTGAACTCACAGTGACCCTCCTGCCTCAGCTTCCCGAGCGTGGGGATTACAGGCGTGCGCCACCGCGCCCAGCAGCATTGTACTTTGTTACTTTAACCAAACCAACCTTACAGAAAGTACTATTAAACATTTTTATTATTATTATTATTATTATGAAAAATATTTTAGTCAGCAAATGCCTTACGGTACTTTTCAAAATCAGAGGTTACGGTAACTGGCAACAACTTGTTCTAACAATGTGAAACTGTCCAAAAAGTCCTCTTCTTCAATTCCAAATTTTGTGTACTGATGAATATAAGCTCTAGGGGGAAAAAAGCCAGAAAACGTAAAATGAACCATTTCAGGCAAATTAGTAACTTACATCAAGCAACTGGAGGGAGGGGAGGGGAAGAGGAAGGAAAAAAGGATCAACGCCCTGTGCCAACACCCACGGTGAGTGTATGCATTACGTACAGCGCGTCTATACTAATGAGAAAGGGAAATCAAGCAATAGTAGACCTTTTTGAGCTCATGAACATTCAAATATCACAGACCTCTTAGAAGTCTCACATTAGCTGATATTATGTTACACATCTGGAATTCCAGCATTCAGGAGGGAGGTTGAAGGGCCAGGGATATAGCTCAGTGACACTAGCACCTGCCTGGCAAGCACAAGGTCCTGAGTTCGATCCCCAGTACCCCCCCCCCAAAAGTCCAATTTGGATGCCACTTATTTCTTGCCAGGAGGGAGGTTGAGGCAGGAGGATCGCTGGGAGTCTGAGGCCAGGCTGGGCCACACTGAGCTCAAGACCAGCCTGAACTACATAGTGAGGCCTTGTCTCAAAAAACCAAACCAAACCAAACCAAACCAACCAAACCAAAAGACAGCTGCTAAAACATTCTTTAGTATCAAGCAGATTTGAATATACAGTATGTGTTACTGAGGAAGATCAGAATCTTCTCCACTCTTCCAATGATTCTTCTCTTTTATTTTTATTTTGTCTTTTTGAGACAGGGTCTCACTGTATAGTTCAGGCCGGCCGGGAGCTCCCTTTGTAGCCCAGGCTGGTCTTGAACGCACAGTGATCCTCCTGCCTCAGCCTCCCGAGTGCTGGGATTACAGGCGCGCGCCACCACACCTGGCTTGATTCTTCTTTTTGAGACAGGGTCTCGCTATGCCAAGTTTAGGAACTACTTACTCATTTAGTCAACAACAATGTCAGTAACAGCCCAAGCCCTGAGCCTTTCCACAATTATCTCAGTGAAGCCAGCCCCACGGTTTCTCAGGAAAGACCCACTGTGCCGCGGAGGGAGTGAGGCCATCGGTCACCAGCCCAAGGCTGCAATTCACCTCCGCATCACCTGCTACCATAAGCCGGGTCTGTGCCCTCAGCTGACTTACTTTGAAGCGAACATATTCCATGCTTTGCCCACAACTGCATCAAGCGGCCTCACAAAGAACTGGCCGTTGCTGACCAAGGCTGCGGACCTCTCGTATCTGTTAAAGGCTCGCGGGGTCTTCCATGCGGAGAAGGCGTCCGCCGGCCCCAACCAGGAAGTGTACAGGGCTGGGTCCCGGAATCCCTCTGGAAAGGGAGACAACGCGGGCATTACAGCAACGTTAACAGCTGCGAAACCAAATTTGCCAACAGGTACTTGCTTGTCTGTTTCCTCCGAAACCTCCTTTTCTTTTGCCTCTTACTTCAGTGGTGCTGGGGACTGACTCCAGGCCTCGTACGGGGCCTTCACACTCAGCTGCGTACTTTGAGACAGGGTCTTGCCAACTCTCTAAACTGCCCAGGCTGGGCCTGAATTTTCCATCCTTCCGTCTCAGCCTCCAGGAATGCTAGGATTACAGCTGTGCGCCATATGCCTGGTGCTATTTTGTCTTCTATATTGCGTTTAAATAAATGACCCATATTTGTTGTCCAAAAATAAGTGGCAATAATTCATATCATTCAGAAAGTAGTAAGAGAGGCTAACGCAGGAGGACTGTCTTGAGTTCGAGACCAGCCTGGGCCACTGTGAGCTCAAGGCCGGTCTGAACTGCATAGCAAGACCCTGTCTCAAAAAGACCAAAAACAAAACAAAACAAAACCCCAGAAATAAGAAGAAAAATATTAAGTGACAAGAGCAGCTGAAATGCCACCACCCAGCAATAGAGATTGTCAACATTTATTTTGTGGACCGTGTGTGATTTTACACACATTCTTTTCTGTACTCTGTGTTTTTGTTTCCCCAACGTGTTGTGAACTTTTTTTTGTACATCAGTAAAGATCGCTTATCTTTAAAGGCTCCCTATGTGACAGGACATCGTATTTCTTTGTTTCCTAGTGTTGGGTATTTAGGTTATTTCCACATTTTGTGGTGTGAAAGATGTTGTGATGAACACCTTTGCAAGAACACCTTGTGCACATGCGTCATTTGCACTGGGTAAATTTTTGGAAGTTGGCTTATTTTATATATTGTTAATAAAATTTTTTTTAAAGCCAGGTATGGTGGCACATGCCTATAGTACTAGCACTTGGGAGGCTGAGGCAGGAAGATCAGGATGAGTTTGAACCCAGCCTGGGCTACACAGTGAGTTCAAGGTCAGCCTGAACTATATAGTGAGGGTTATGTTTCAAAAATAAAAATTAAAAACAGATAATATTAAATATCTAAAAGGGTGAGCTGCGGGTACAGCTCAGTGGTAGAGCACCTGCCCCTACCTCCTACCCCTCCACCACAAAAGACAACATAAACAAGCCAAGCATAGTGGTACATATCTGTACCTGTAATCCCAGCACTCTGGGAGGCTGAGGTAAGAGGATCTCAAGTTCAAGCTCAGTCTGGGTAACTCAGTGGTTGAGTGAAACCTGGTCATAAAATTAAATATTTTCAGAAGGGTTGGGGATGCAGCTCAGTGTGAAGGCCCTGGGTTTAAGCTCCAATACTAGGGGAAAAAAAATTTAAAGTGAAGAACTATTTGGCTTGACATGATCTATTTTTATTAGTTCTTTTTCTCAGGGGAATTACAAGGTATACATCGGGGTTTTTTTGGGTTTTTTTTTGAGACAGGGTCTCGCTCTGCAGTTCAGGCTGGCCTTGAGCTCACTCTGTAGCCCAGGCTGGCCTTGAACTCGAAACGATCCTCCTGCCTCAACCTCCCGAGTACTGGGATTACAGGTGTCGCCACCACGCCTGGCATACATTGGTTTTTATATCACAACAAGTAGCAAATTTGATACTGCTAAAGTCATTAAGTAAGGATAAATTATAACTGCAGGGAACAGTCACAGAGAAACAGCTGATAAGAATACTGCTCCTCCAGGCAGGTGGCGCACATCTGTAATCTCAGTGCTTGGGAGGCTGAGGCAGGAGGATTGCCATGAATCTGAGGCCAGCCTGGGGTACATAAGTGAGTTCAAGGCCAGCCTGAACTACTCAGTGAGAGCTTGTCTCAAAAAAAAAAAAAAAAAGGATGACAAGGCATGCTGCTCTTCCACCTTCCTATGCTCGTCACAGCACCCACTGACCTGCTCAGCGATCCGATCTTCCCTTCTTTAGTAACAGGGCCCCTCAGGCGCTCTGCAGCGGCTGGGATCAAACCCAGGGCCTCCAACATGCAAGGCAAACTACCACGGAGCTCCCCCAGCCCTGTGACCCCACCTTTGAACGACACTCCCAGCCACCTGCAGTGAGGTGTGGCCCCTGACTCAGTCCCCGCCCAGAGGACAGAGACCGAATCACGGAATCATAATGTGCAGCTCTGGCAGTGAGCGTGTCTCTGCTCGTTCCTGTGGGATTTCTTTTTTATGGTTGTGGGGATGGGACCCAGGGCCTCGAAAGCACTCTGCCACTGAGCTACACCTCCAGAACTTTTTTTTTCCTAGGCTGGTCTTAAGCTCCAGGATCTTTCTTCCTCGGCTTCCTGCATGCCGTAAGTCCTGTGTGGTTTGACAGCTGGAACTCATGCAGGTGTCTTGGGCTCTCAGAAGGAAGTGGAAGGAGAAGGACAACGAGCAAGCAGACATTTAGAAGAAAGAGTCAACCTTATATCTCATTAAATTAAAGAGTCAACCTTATATCTCATTAAGTCCCTTCTAACTTGGGGTCCAGTCACATAGAAACTGATACAATAGTTACATTTGCACTAACACATCTAGTTCTTACCTTCCTTTCAGTCCCTGAATAAATGCAGGGACTTTTTTTGGTGGCAGGGTCTCACTAAGTTGCTAAGTTGCTCAGGCTGGGCTTGAACCTTTGGCCCTGAGCCTCCCGAAGTACTACAACTACAGGTGTGTGCCCCCACCCCCGGCTGGGGACTCCATGTGCACACGTGTAAAATGTACATGTTCACTTTCACCTTGGCTTCTGCTTACCCAGATTTGCATTCTGCACATCTTTCCCACGAAGGATGAGCAAGTTAGCAAGGGAGGTGTTAAAATGCTGCTCCCTGTTGAGACACATTTTGCCAGGAGGTGGAAGTTTTGGTAAAGGAGGCCGCACTTGCCAGTCAATACCTACCGTGAGAAACACAAGCGAGAGGAAATTATTCCCGGGCCTCACACTGAACCAGCAAACTGCCAGCAGGTACACGGCTGACCTGTGGGGAGCTAATGGCTCCTGTGCTTTCTGTTTTTCCTTTCTGAAAAGCAGAGTTGGCCTGTTATCCTAGGCCCACTGCATTCATTTGTTGAACACACCACGGGCAAGGAACTGTACTCAGGGAACCGCCCCTGAGAGGGTAAGTCAACATTCAGGAATGTTCTTTTTTTTTTGGTCTTTTTGAGACAGGGTCTCGCTGTGCAGTTCAGGCTGGTCTTGAGCTCACTTGGTAGCCCAGGTTGGTCTCTAACTCGCAACGATCCTCCTGTCTCAGCCTCCCGAGTGCTGGGACAGGCATGCGCTGCCACGCCCGGCACAGGAATATTCTGGAACATTCTGGAACAGCACATATGAGGCTGATGCGGTAATAGGATGTAAGTTTGGGAGCCTCAGGAGGGGGCAAGTGTCTCCTGTGTGTGAGAGGACAGAAGTCATTAAGAGATAAGGGAATAAAACTAGCCTCAAGATGAACCCCAGGGATCTGAGCTGGTGGGTACTCAGGCCTTGGGGAGTCTCCTCTCACACTGGACAGCGTTGATCTTAACAGCCAAAAAGACTTAGCAGAAAAGAGGGTATGTGACTCAGAAGCTTGGTCATGAAAGTAATTTCTGTCTTAACTCCTTCTTGGATAACTTAACCCCCCGGTGCTAGGTCAACTGGGGACAGACACACTGCTGATGGGGCCATAAATGGGTCCAATCTTTATGTAGAACAGCCTGATATGGACAGTTGTAAAACTAGATCCTGCACCAGGCGTGGCCGCAAACACTCATAACCACAGCACTCAGGAGGCAGAGGCAGGAGGATCGCTGCAAGCTGAAGGTCGGCCTGGGCTACAAAGTGAGTTCAAGGCCAGCCTGAACCACATAACAAGACCCCGTCTCAAAAGACCAAACCAATCTGAACAAAAACCCTTCACCCTGCCACTTGGCTTGTGCCACAAATATATTCATTCATATACATCCAAAAATGAAAATGTTCAGCGTCTGGGGTTGCAGTTTGTGGGTAGGGTACTTGGCTAGCATGACTGAAGCCCTGCTTCATCTCCAGTCCCACTAAAGCTTAAAAATTTGTGCATGTGTGTGTCTGTTTTCAGTACCAGGACTGAGCACATGGTCTCTGCACACTGCTCCATCCGCAGCTCTTCTTTGAGACAGGATCTACTGAGTTGCGCAGGCTGGGCTCAAACCTGCAAACCCTCCTGCCTCGGCCTCCCCAAGTGCTGGGAGGATAGACACGTGCCACCACTCCTGGCTACAAGAAGGGAATTTATACATTCAAATTCTATCTATAACAAATTATGAAGAAAGGTCGATATCCAAAAATCCCTGACTGAGATGACTAAGTGAACTGTGCTTACTGCCTTAACAAACCTCGTAGCAGGACGTGGCACCCTCCCCAGCGCACGCCGTGTTCCTAGAGACCTGAACAGGCACTGCTAGAAAAACAAGTATTGCGGCCAAAAGCGTTCAGGAGCCAGTACTGTACGACGCAAACTTTCCTCTTTGCTCCAAACTCCCGGCACCACAATCTAAAATCTGTAAGCTGCCATAAGCAAATGTAGAGAAAAATCCTCTTTCACAGTATTAAACCCACAGTATTTCACAATGCAGTACATTACATGCTACTAAAATAATACACCCCTGTTTCTGGTTAAACACGACAAACTAAGCAGATACTAACTAGTGTACTGCATTTTCTCTTACAAAACCCACTAAGATAATGAAGAGATTTCTTTCTTTCTTTTTTGTCTTTTTGAAACAAGGTTTCACTATGCAGTTCAGGC